GACTTTCTAAGTTTACCCATATTTACAAATATAAATTTTTAAAAATTTGTAAATAAGAGTGATTTTAAAATAAGATAATTAATACTCCATCTTTTGTGGAAAGTGACTGAGATATAGGCTAATCAAATTATTTTGATTAGCATAATGTTACTAATATATATTAGGAAGTACCTTTTCTTAATTATAAGATATTTTGAACTAATCTACACTCTCAATAAATTATTTAATAATGTTAAAAATTATATATTTTTTATATTTATATTTTTTTAATATAGCATATCTCAATCTAACAAATATGTGAGACCTGTGGCCAAAAAAATATACATGAGATGAGCAAGATATTATGTCTGATCAACTTAAAATTGGGCCAAGTCATTGCATGGATCAAGATAAGACGTTACATTCAGTGACTAAAATCATGGATCATGATTTGGGCCAAAATAATTTTCAACTTTATGCACAAAGTTCTAACCCAATGTTTGATGATGAATTGGGCTCTCCAACGCATACTTTGACTTTTGCTACACACAGTGAAGGCGTAAACGGAATGGGTCATGATGCATGACAAGACGCCTTTGTTACTGTGCCTATGAAAGCATCTTCTTTTGTTGGTGTTGAGGTACATAGTCGTGAACCTGATATGAATATTTCAACCAAGAATAGTCTCGACATGCATATGCCATCTGTGTTAAATCCTGGCGCCCTACAGCCTCACCCTTCTTATTAGTTTTTGTTTATCGACTGTTTAATTTGGACTACTCGTGGAACTGGTTGTAAAACTTTTTCCACCCTTATTAAAGAAATTCATAATTTTTATAAAGTTGATATGATTGCTATTCTTGAAACTTGTGCTAGGGCCATAAAGTCCAACAAATTGCTAATAAGTTGGGTTTTCATGCTAATTATATTATTGATGCTATTGGCTATAGTGGTGGCATTTGGATCCTTTGGAAAGATGATATTAAAACTCTGAATATTTTGGAGTCTAATGCTCAATTTGTTCATGTGTATATTGAGAATCCTAAGAACCAAGCATGTTTTGTTATGTTTATTTATGATCACCCAAATCCTGCTAGAAGGCATCTCCTTTGGAATAATCTTGTGTAGGTTAGTTTTAATGTTCATGGGCATTGGATGCTTGTCGGAGACTTTGATGCTATTGCTCATTATGAAGAACGAAAATCTAATGCCTCATTCTGCACTAATATTGATAATGATTTTTGTCAATAGTTGGAGCAGCTTGATCTCAATGATATGGGCTTTAATGGCCCTAAATTTGCCTAGCGAAGGGGAAATACTGAGGATCATCTTGATCAAGTGGTTGCCAATGATAGATTCTTAAGTTCTTATCCTGATGCTACGATTACTCACTTGCCTTTCCATAAATCCAATCACCGCCCCTTGTTGTTTAGAATTGATGGCTCTCATCAAGTTGATAAAGTGGATAGGCCTTTTTGTTTTATCACTCCTTAGGTGCTTCATGATGAGTTTTCTGATTTTGTTTGTGGTTCTTGAATGATAAAGAGGAGTAGAATACTAATCTATAAGGTTTTGATGAAGCTTGTTTCAAATGAAACAAGAAATTTTTGGGTTTATTAAAGCCAAGAAAAAATGATTACTTTCCCGTCTAGATGGGGTAACCCATAAACTAGCAGTTTATCCTTTTGACAAGAGGTTGGAAGCCTTGTAACAAGAACTCTGGTTGAAATTTGAGAAAGTTTTGCTATAGGATAGTATGCTTTGGGCTTAAAAAGCTAGAAAAGACTGGAGTTTACAAGGTGATAAAAATACTAAATTCTTTCACCAGGTTGCTAATGGAAGACATAAATGTAATCATGTTGATGCTATAAAGAATAAGAATGGTGATTGGGTTTATGATGTAGCACTATAATTCTATGACTACTAAATTGTTTGCCTCTCTTTTCTATGAAGAGGATGACTCTGGAAATGATATGCTTTGCACTTGGACATACCATAATATAGATACAGATACTATTACTAGGTTTAATCAAAAAGTGTCTAATCTTGAAATAAAAGAAGATGTTTTTGATATGGGTGCTTTAAAAGCCTTAGGACTTGATGGGCTTAATGCTCTTTTCTTTCAAAGTCAATAGGAGCATGTTGGGGAGTCTGTTGTTGGTATGGTGAAACATCTTCTTCAATGTCCCTTTGATATCACTTCTATTAATGGCACTTTAATTGTGCTGATTCCCAAAAAAGATCATCTTGAGACATTGAAAGACTTGCATCCCATGAGTCTTTGCAATGTAATTTATAAGGTAGTAACTAAGATTATCACTAAGAGAATGAAGACCTTCCTCCCTCTAATTATTAGTCCAAATCAATGCAATTTTTTTGTGGGTAGACAAAGTTCGAATAACATCATTGTGGCTCAAGAAATGATACATATTATGCCAAATATGGCAGGAAAAAAGAGTTTTATGGTTATTAAAATTGATTTCAAGAAAGCTTATGAAAGAGTTAATTGGAAATTCTTGAAGATTTGCTTTTTTTTTTGAACTCTAACTCCCAACTCAAATGATCAATGTTATATGGAATTGTATTGCCACTCCTTCTATGTAGTTGCTTTGGAATGGGGGAAAGGCTGAATCTTTTAGTCTTTCTAGAGGGGTCCGTCAAGGAGATCCAATTTCACCATATCTGTTTGCAATATGCATGGAAAAATTGGCTCACATGATCCAATAGAAAATGGAGGATGGCAAGTGGCGACCAATCAAAGTCTGTAAGGATGGTCCTTTATCTCTCATTTATTTTTTTGCTGATGATATTATTCTTTTTGCAAAAGCTTCTCTTCAATAGGTTGACGTGGTTAATGAATGCTTGCATAATTTTTGTGAAAGCTCTGAATAGAAGGTTAATGCTAAAAAGACTAAAGTTTTCTTCTCCTCTAATGTTCACTACCACAGAGGACTAGAAGTTGTCAATGCTCTTGGATTCACTACGACTTTAGATCTCGAGAAATACCTGAGAGTCCCTATTCTTTATGAAAGTGTTGATAAGGGGACATATCGAGAAGTTGTGGACAAAGTTAAGAAAAGGCTAGCAAATTGGAAGGTAAACTCTCTTGCTCTTGTAGGGTGGACTACATTAATCAATTCTGTTACTTCTAATATACCCACATATACGATGCAAATGGCAATTCTCCCTTGAACTACTTGCAGTGAGTTGGAAAGACATAATCATGATTTCTTGTAGGGCACTACTACTGAGCGAAGGAAGGTGCACCTGGTTACTTGGAATAAAGTTTGCAAATTAAAGTCTCATGGAGGCCTCGGAATATGACATGCAAAACTTCATCACCAAGCTTTTCATATGAAGTTAGGATAGGGACTGATTAAACGACATGATGATCTTTGGGTCCAAGTCATTCATAGCAAATATAAATGTGGTTTGGACGTGTTGCCTAAAATTGATGGAAAATTGGCCTGGGTCAAGTATTTAGTTTGGAATTAAATCATAGTTCATTAACATTAGGGGTGTTTTTGCACCCTCCTTCAATTAATGATACTGGGTGACCCTTAAGGAAAAATTCATGAATATTTTTGCTCTCTAACCCTTTTAACTATTGCGTTCGGTTTCGGTGCTCAGCGCCCGTTAAGCACCATGGTGCTCATCAGCTAAGACACACCGTTTAATTAACAATGGAGAACGCACCGTTTAATCAACATCTTTTCTTCACTTTTCCTTTCCAGCAGCAGTATAAAATCAAAAGTTGGAGGGAGGGAGTGTGTTTTGGCGTCATTCTGCTCATTCTATTTCAAGCTTCAAGTTCGACTATTGAATTCCAGTAACATCGTTCATTGAGAAGGGGTTCTTGTAAGCTAAAGAACTTCATTAATTCATTTTAATTTCTTCTTCTTCATGTTTTTTTTTGTTGTCTTATTGAAACTGAATGCAAATATGAATGATGAAGACAATAAGCAATAGACCCACATTTAGCTTGTAGAGACAGATTACAAAGGAAGCCGAATGCTGTCTAATTTCTGAAATATACACACACACATGTGTATGTGTTTAAGTCGATAAGGGCTACATTAAGTGGAAGGACAAATTTGCAACAAATTAAAATTTGGGGGCTAGGGAATGGAATTTTTCTGCAACGATGCCTACCAATGTTGTGCTTGGAACAGCTTTAGTCTCATAGCAAAATCCTTATTAACTTTATATTTTATGTTTTTTATTTGCTGCCATTGTTTGCTTGTACGTTGATGCATCCCTTTAACCTCTTCTATTATGGTGCACAATTAAAAAACAATTGATAATTTTCAAGTGAAAAAAATAAAAAAATAGTTGAAAAATTAAATTTTAATCATGTACTACAGACACACACACATTCATATTTTTATTTTCTAAATACGTGACAGAGGCACACATTCAATTATTGTCTACTTTGAGTTGGCAATGTTTGGCAAGAGGAGTAAAGTGGCCCAATGAGATAAGCTTGATTGGCCTTTTTTAGTTGGTCTTAGTTGAAAAAATTTCTACCCTGTATATATATATATATATATATTCATTGAAAAGAATATGAAGAAAGAAGTTTGTGTATATGTAGGAAATATATATATATATATATATATATGGTGTGTGTGGCTATTTGAAGAACGAATATATAATGTTTGAAGAGTGTATAATATCTTTACCATAATCTTGTATGTTTTGAAAAATTATGTTTTTAATAAAAATGTAAAATATAATTTTTTTTATTCTTCACAGGAACCATGCAAGAGGAAGATGAATTGGAACCCAAAATAGGAAGGGAGTTTGAAAGTTTGGATGAGGCATGGGAGTTTTAGACAGAATATGGTAAAAGAATTGGATTTGGAGTTAGAAAGGGTACTTCTACAAAGAGTAGAGCGGACAAATCCATTATTATTACATATAGATTTTTATGTTGCAAGGAAGGTTTGCGGAGAAAAAATGAAAAAAGGGCATATGCTTCTACACATCGACCAGAGACAAGGACCAATTGTAAGGCAAGAATGGTAGTATCTCATTTTGGCCAAAAGTTCAGAATCACTGTGATTGACAGAGAACATAATCACCCGCTTCACATAAAAGACACAGTCAACCTGTTACCATGTCAGAGAAATATATTAGAAGCTCAAGCTCATGAAATGGATCTTGCAGAAGAATCTGGACTTGAACCTAGGGATGCTTTTGACTTAATGAGTATATATGCCGGTGGTCAAGAAAATCTTGGTTACACAATGACAGATGCAAAGAATTACTTGATGTGCAAAAGGAGAAGACATATGAGGTTTGGCGAGGTGGGGTGTCTACTTGAATACTTTCAGAAACAAATTGAAGAAAATTCAGCATTCTACCACAAATATCAATTGGACCCAAATCAACACATCACTAATATTTTTTGGGCCGATGCTCGCATGCTAATAAATTATGCACATTTTGGTGAGGTTGTATCACTAGATACAACATATAGCATAAATCAAAATCATAGACCCCTTGCACTATTTTCTGGCTTTAATCATCATAGAAGTGTGGTCATTTTTGGAGCAGCATTATTGTATAATGAGACAATTGAGTTTTTCAAATGGTTATTAGAAACATTTTTAGATGCTCATATACAAAAGAAGCCTCAAACTGTGTTTACAGACCAAGATCAAGCTATGGCAAGAGCATTGTGTGAAGTTCTTCCCAATACAAAACATTGTTTATACAATGGTGTTAAACACCTTGGGAACCTAATGAAAGATGGGTCACATTTTTTGACTGATTTCAAGAAATGCATGTTTAATTATGTTGATGTAGAGAAGTTTGAAGAAGCATGGAGCCAATTATTATCTTCTTATAATGTTCATGAAAATGGATGGTTGAACTCTACTTATGATATTAAGGAGAAATGGGCTTGGTGCTATGTGAAGGAAACATGCACACTAGGCATGAGGAGTACAAAGATTAGTGAAAGTGTGAATGCTGATGTGAAGAGATGTACAAAGCTAAAATTAGACATCAAGCGATTCTTTAAAATGTTTGACAAGGTTGTGGCAAAGAAACGATACAAGGAAGTGAAAGTTGAGTATGAATCTCGACAAAAGATTCGAAGGATAGTTAATTAAAGTGTGCCTATTCTATGCCAACTTGTGCAAGTTTATACCCCCACTGTTTTTGACATGTTTCAAGAACAATGGGATCTCTAGTTCTTGGTAGAATTAATTGCACGTGATGAGAAAGAGTCATTATTTGTATACATTGCCTATATGATTGATTAGGAAGGGGAATGGAGAGTTGAGTTCAAACTTGACACTTATGAAATTTCTTGTACTTGTCAAAAGTTTGAGTCCACAGGAATATTTTGTTGTCATACATTAAAAGTGTATGAGTCAAAGGATGTAAGAGTTATGCCTGACCAATATATTCTAAAGCATTGGACTAAGGAAGCAAGGTCTGGTGTTATCCATGATGTTAGAGGAAATGAGATTCAAGCAGATCCTAGACTTGACATCACACAAAGGTATAGACAATTAATGCTTATGATGGGCAGATTGGCTTTCAAGGCTGCTAAGACACTTGAGGGATTTACTCATGTTCAGAAATGTATTATTGAGTTAGAAAATCAGATTCCTAATGATAATGAAAATGAGACTTCTGAACCAATCATAGAGTCACAAAGTATGCCAAAGGACTTTAAAAAAAGAGATGGAAAATCAAGTAAGAGACGTTGAAAAGGTTGGGAAGAGAAGAATTTAAAAACAAGAAGGAGAGTTGCACCAAAGGTAGTAAGTTTTAATTTATATATAAGATAGAAAGAAAATATTACTTATTTTACATTTGAATTTATTTTTTATAGGACTCTCAAGAAGTTTCACCATGTAAGAAAACATCTAAGGAAAAGGAAAAGGCCTTATCATCAAAAAGAAGAAGAAAGGTAGATCAAATGCAAGATGTACAAACTCAGGTTTCAGCAACTTCTTACTTGAAAGCTCCAACACAACCTATACAAATACAAGATTCAATATTTTCATGTGCAATGCCTCCAGTACAATATTTTTTCACCCTCTACATCACAATCATTGTCATTCACAAGCTTACTAGCGGTATGAATCAATAAATTGGTTACTACTAAATGGTATGTATTGTTATCTTATTTTGATGTCATAGCCACTAACATTTGCAAATGTAGGCACAAAGTAATGAAATTCCATCACTTAAAGCCATAGATCTTATGGACAACTACTCACAAGGTAATGAATAGAAAAAGAGATACACAATTTGCACAAAAACATAATTTTATTAATTTTCATAATGTCATATATAATTTACAAAATTTATTACAATCCTTATCATGGAACAATTTACAACTAGCATTATATTCTTTATTCAGATTAGCATACTACATATCACAAGTTTGAAGTCTTTTTTCTTTTCAGCAAAGTAGTTTCACAATATTTACATATTCTTTGTTTTGCTTTTGTTTTTTTTTTTTCGGCAGCACACTAATTTTACACCCTGCACAACCATAAGACAGCTTTTGGATCCTTTTGTAATGCAATCCTGGAACAAGTGTGCATATTTTTTGTGGGATGGTCTTTGCTTTGCTTCACTACATACTTCTACCCAACTCTATCAGCAACATCTATCCTGCAGCCAATATAAAGTAAATCAATCACCATCCTTATCCATTTATAGCTTCACATTATCTTCTCTATTTTGGGAATGTACATCACATTACTCTTACTACATATATTTTGTCAAATGTATTTAAGTGAACCAATGAACAATATCAATTATTATTGCACAGTGAAAAAGCATGAACTAAATTGAATCTTTTACTAAATTTGTGATTTGAAGTTTTATTTGGTGTAGGCATTGTCCTTCACAATTCATACACAATTTCTTCGCTTATTTATTAAAGACACCTTTTGTGTGTAAGAAATTTTATGTTAGGGCTGGTGGGATTTCCAAGTTGTGTGTTTTGCTTGTAGCTAAAATTCCAAATTGAGCATTCTAAGATATAAAGAAGACAGCATGTAAACACATGCAAATGCACACATCCTTGTATAATTTGTGAATATGAAGCATAATAGTCATATATGATGTAGACATGGTTCATACTGATGACTTATTATTACATTAAATCTCATATTTGAGTTTTACTATGCTAGAGATGTAGACATGCAGTGTTTGGAAGACTATATGGATATTTTTAACTATGAAATGGTTTCGTTAGATCAATTTATGTTTCTTTTTCTTGGTAACTTGTTTCATAGGGAGAAGTAATTGAAAAAAAAAGTATAGATAGCAATGTAATATTGATTAATTGACTTATACACTATCTAATAGAGAATTGAGAGTGGTTATGTTTTAGAGAAACCAATAGGGAAAAGTAGCTTGGTCATGCTCAAAATTTGTCAAGCAAAGTAATATTGATTAATTGACTTATACACTATCTAAAGTGTTCCCTTGAAAATTGTGCTTTTAATATTATGCTTGCATCCTCTCTATTTAAGGCCAACGTCTCCAAGTTGAGAATCACCTGTGTGTGTGCCATATGTGAAATGCTTGATTAAATATTTTGTCTAAAACAATATATATATATATATATATAAAACAAGTAAATTGAATGATTAATAATCTCTTATACATAATATTGTTAGAATAAAGTGAATAATGGCGTTGATAATCAAACCTGATTTTTTCTTTTTGGAACTCAAAAATCATAGTAAAACAATGCAATCCTATTTATGATACTCAAAAAAATCAAGATATCATATTATAATAAAATATATACCTCTTCAAGTGTGAAAAGATGCTGCTACATTAAGACATGGGCTTTAGTGTCAGAAACTCCGACTTGTCCACTTGTACCTTGTGTATGCATTGCAATAGAGAAGGGAAGAATATATTCTAAGTTCTTTTAGTCTTCAACACGCACAAGTTGCAAGTTATGAAAGCATAGGTTTGGATCTCTACTCTAAATTTGCTTCAACATGGATAAATGAAGCAAAGTCAAATTGAAAAATTCCTATACTAGTGTTGTATCCTCTGCATTACCCAGTTTAGAGTTGAGTTCAAAAATGACTTGCACTTGAGGTATCATTTCTATAATGATTTTTTGCTATAAGTTAACCTAGTTATTTGATGCTTATTATGTTAACTTTTACGTCAACAAAACATTCACATTTACATGTTATTAAAGCCAACACATCCTTCATAAGTACATGTTATTAAAGCCATCAGTTGTTGCAGGGTAGAAGGCAATCACATTAAAAAACAAGTATGTTTAAAAACTTCATGTGTACCAAACAGAATCATGGAAGCATTAGGTATAAAACTTGAAAATTTAAAAAAAAAATTACCTTCAGCAATATCATGCACTAATACTAGTTTAATACACCTACACAGCAAAAATAGAGGATAACATCAGAAAATCGAGGGAAATTTATCTTAAACATCAAATGTATCAAACTGTGGTGAATTTTAAGCAACATGTATGGACTCTTTACAATGACAATTGCGGTAAAAAGAGGAATCTCAACAATTAGCCCTATTATTCCCACAATGATACAAGCAGCATATGAATCAACCTACAAAAAATAGAAACCCACATCAGAGCATTCGGACACAATGTGCTATATTCTACTCTATAAATAAGAAAGCATAAAGGCATTTATTGACTAAGAGGACCAGGAAAGCAATGATGTTAACACAACAATACCTCCAATTCAAGAGCAGAATCTTGCAGTAATTTCTTTGCATTTAAAGAGTTTAATTCAGGGACGTCTTCGCTGCAATGCTTGTGAAGCTCTGTAAGCTCCTCCAATCGACTAAAAGAAATATGACAAAAATAGCGATTATGTGAGAAAAAATTGAAAGGAGTAGAACAAGAAGAGGGAGAACGACCTGCGAAGGGCGAGGAGGTCTGTGGGTGGCGGTGGCGATGGCGATAGGATGGATTGAGATTGTTTTGCCATTTATTATCAAAAATTCATATTAATTGACTCAGTGAACCCTGTAATGAAATCTTTCAATGGGGTCGAACTACTAAGGATCACTAGAAGTAAATTTGAAATTGAGGTGCCGCTCTAGTTAGCTCTTGCTCGTTAGCAGGGACGCGAGCTACCCTGTGACAGCGCCGATGAGGAGGAGCTCTGGTTTGGGAAACTCTCCAACCTGATAACTGTAATAAGGTATTATTCAAAATTTAATTGAATAAAAAATGAATGAATGGTCAAGATTAAAACATAATTAACAGATGCGATTCTCCACTGTTAATTAAACGGTGTGTCTTGGCCACTAAGCACCATGGTGGTCAGCGGGCGCTGAGCACCGAAACCGAACGCTTTAACTATCACATGCATCTTTCAAAAAACAAAAATCACACGGATTATGGTTTTATAGGCCTTGGATTATTTCAATCTAAGGGTGATTAAATTTATCAAACAAACACAATTTTTACTCTTTCCTGACACACACGTGATTTCACCAGTTCACTTCTCCTAGTTTGCAACTCTCAGAACACACGGTCTCTCACCTTCTCGATCTGCCACTCACTCTCTTAGCGTCACCGTCTCAAAATTCAATTAATATCTAGGAACCATAGGGTAGTTATCTTAGGTTCCATGGAGCAATTAAAGAGAAGAAGGACTTAAAAATTTCGAAGTCTATCTTTGTTTGCCTTAACTTGTTATTTCTGGAATTTTTATCAAAATTCAAAAGTTCCTTATTTTATAAATTTCATATTAGGCTTATTCTTGTCTCCTTTTAAAACTAAAAGATTTTTCTATATTTAAAAAAAAATACTAAACTTGACTTTAACTGAGTCATATAAGTTTTTCGATTAGATACTCTCCTCTTGTTCTATATATAAAAAAAAAACATAGAAATGCAAGAGGGCAAAATAATAAAATATTCTATTCAAGCTTGAGTTAACGGTCAACATTTGTGATTTTTAATGGTAGAAAAGAATGCTCTGTTTTTTAAACTTTCGAAGAGAAAATACTCCAAAAAAAGTCCTTGAAAAAAAAAATTTAAAGATATTTTTGCCATTTAACATTAAAATAAATAGAAAACAGTTTTGTAGACAATTTAAAAAAAAGTTTTAAAAAATAAAAATTGGTTACTGTTTAAACAATTGTAGAACTACAGTAATCAACCATTATACTTTATAATATAAAAAAATATAAAGTTGGTTGATGATTAGGGCTCAACCAATGTAATCTATCATAACAGTTAAGAACCATCGAATACCACAAAGTTCTTATATTCCAAATACATCAAAAATAATGTCGATAGTGTTATTTTTGATAGAAAGCCTACGCAGTATTATAAAATTAATAGGCATCTCAAAGTATGCAAATTAGGCTCTAAGCTTATCCTAAACCATAGAGAGACACAATTCAAGTTATCTAATTCTCCTAAATACTACAATCATCGTCAATATCTAAACCTTCAAATTCACCAATTCTCAATCCAAACCAATCCATTTCAATTAAACCTCATAAATATGATAGACCAATGATTTTAAATCATAAATGCACAAATTAATTGGTAGGAGTGAATTGAGCAGAGAGTGGAATTGGAAGCCCAAATATCATCTGTTTGATATGTTTGAATTGGCTTCCTTGTGAAAGTCACTTCTATCAAAATTGATGAAACCCACCTCCACATCCAATTCCATGTAATTGAGTTCTACTTCCATCACGGCCTCAAGTATCACCATTTTGCCCCTTTTATCATATCTTCTTTATTATTGCCATTGAGAACGATGAAGAGGACCATGGCAGCAATGGTGATGACTCGAGCAAGGATGATGTCGAATGGCGATGACTCCGACGAGGACAATGGCAGACAATAATAACTAATGCTCTGACTATTGTTCGTCGATTCTCCATTGGCAGCGATGGGGATTTACCATGGCTTCTAATTACCGCAATCTTTCCCTACACATTTTCTCTCTTGCCTCAAATATGACTCAAAAAGTCAATATTAGACAACATCGGATCAATGACTTGGATGACATTTGTGGGGTGGGTTTGGCCGTGCAGTCCCTTCATCATCTGATTTGGGTTGGGAAGATAATATTATATATTCTAGATTCAAACGATTTTCAAACTTTGGGTAAGGGCAAACGAGTCTTTTCATATTATAAATGGATATAATAATTAAGAATTATATTACATTTATTTACACTGTTATAGCAAGCATATTTTTAAATTTCACTTTCTCTTCTGTTTATATTTTCATTTTCACTTCTAACTCCATTTCCATCTGGCTAACACAATTTAAAAAAGTTAATTAATTTTAATAGTTATATTTGAAATTAAAATATTTTGATTATAATGTCTTTGTAATTAATTTTTATTTTTTTTCTAATTTAATGATACTATTGAGAGACAATTTAAGAAAAATATAGAGAAAATTTAAGAAAAATATCATTAATGTTTTTCAAAATTTATAATTTTACTTATAATTAAAAAAAACAATAAAACTACGGATGCAGTTTTTCTTACTTTTGGGAGTGAGTTGTGCATCAACTCCCTCAATTGGCGCGTGGTCTTTCGCATTAGATTTTTCAAATGCGATAAACTAAGTGAGAAGGAGAAGAAAATTATGGTAACCACCCATTAGATAATATAAATAATTATTAATATAAATAATTATTTAACTCAACTTGGGCCCTCCACTTACTTGGCCTAATTCATCAAGGTGCAACCCAACGTATTCTCTTTTCTCATATCCTTATTGCGTGCCAAAGTTTGTTTTATGGCTATGCTGGAGCTGGTTGTGTCTCTCGTTTAGAGCTTTGGTGGTTTCTGAAAAAAGATTGAAATGAAGGCGGGCTGAATTGAGGTGATTTATAGTTCTTCTTATCAGGTATTCTCATCTTATTCTCATAGTACTCTATTCACATTTGTGCTTAGAGTCGTATATTCGTTTTATTTCGTTCCATTGTATTTGGGATCAGAAATTTTGAGTGAGAAATTTATGAAAGTGCTTATTGATGTGTTATTAGTTGCTCGGTGAAAGAATTTAAAGTTGGTATGTCTATATGTGTTAACTAGTGCATATCAAGTGTTTCTTAAATAATGCTTGAAAGAAAGATAAAACTATAATTATAGTCAATGCCTATTCATGATATTTGCAACTTGCAACCTTGGCTAGACCTTATTCTAAGGCACTCAAACTCAAAGTTCAATTTGTTAGGGAGGTTGTGACAAAACTACGAAGTTTATTAAACATTGATGTAAAATAGATGATATGATATTATTCAAGTAAACAGTCTCAATTAAATTAGTTACCATTGTGAATATGAGAACGATTGAAGTTCGCGGAATGAGGCGTATCTGATCTCATACCCTGCCAGTCACACTACTTCAATGGGGTGTGGCACTAATTAAGTTCAAACACTTTTTTCACATTTGTATTACTTGAAGATGATACATCATGTTAGAAACATATACAGAACATTAAAATGTAACACTGTTAAGTGCTATCGACCCCAAACTGGAGACATTGTTGTTTCATTTCGTGAACAAATTTCTGGCCGTTGAATAAACTTCAACGCCTCTTCATTCCCTACGTTTGAATATGCAGGCTGTTTTGGGCTTGCTATGAAGTTGCTTTCGTTTCTTAGCATTAAATAAACTTCTAGCATGCTAGGCCTATCTTCTGCATATTTCTGGACACACAGGAGAGCAATTTGCAAGCATCTCATCAATTTGCAAGAAGAAGATGTATCATCAAGTGAATAATCCACGAATTCCATGCCTTTTCCTTCTTTCCATAACATGTAAGCCTAAAATATTTAGTGAAACAAAGTAATTAATTGAGAGTGAATGTTTATTTATTTTTTAAAAATCCATAGGTATATATTACTTACATATTCTAAGAGGTTCAAATCATTACTCACTCCATATAAGCTTGAGATCCTTTTTCCACTAATAATTTGTAGGAGGAGGACACCAAAGCTATAAACATCAGATTTAATGGAGCACAACCCTTTCTCAACATATTCAGGAGGTATGTAGCCGCTACAAGAGATTATGAACAATGTAACATATTGGTGAATTGAATAAACAGAATCGATGTACAAAAATTATTATGAAGAGGTTCCAAAAGAATACTCACTATGTCCCTACAAGTTTACTGGCGTTTTCTTCATGTTCATCTTTTTTAAATGGTCTTGCCATGCCAAATTCTGAAATCTTTGGCTTCATCTCATGATCCAATAAAATATTGCTAGCTTTCAGGTCTCTATGAATTACTGTCAGTCTAGAATATTCTTGAAGATAGATTAGCCCTTGAGTTACTCCTTCAATGATACAAACACGTTGTCTCCAGTCTAGTAGATGCTGCTTTGTAGGGTCTGTGTCAAAATAAATTGACAAAATTTGAGATATATCACAAACCTTCAACTACAGGAACAGATTGTATTCATCCCAAAGAGGTTTGAACTCAATCTTCTGGTTTTATCCTTGAAGTCAAAAACAGTAGAAACTTGATATTTGCTCAGTGAAGACATCAAAATAGGCAATTTCCACAAAAAGCACTGGATGATCATGGAATGTGGAAAGCTAGAGAAGTGCTAATCATGAACGATGACAAAATTGTAAATCATAAAAAATTCAATATATATGCATCCCACGCTAAGTGAATTTTTATTACTGACATGCCCTGTTTATCGACTCCAACAAAGCTTGTTGTATATTCACTCTAACATGCAGTTTTAAGTCATAAAGATTGCTAACCAAAAAGATGGAACTGAAGGCTTTTGTTTGGCATGTACTCATAAACCAACATTTGTTCTTCCTTGTCATTGCAGAACCCCAATACTCGAAGAAGATTGACATGTTGCAGTCTTGCATTAAGTGTTGTCTCATTTTTGAATTCCTCAAATCCTTGCTTAGAACCTTTTGATCGTCTTTTCACTGCTATTTCCTCTCCATCAGGTAATATTCCCTAGAGAAACAAAAATTATTGAAATCTTGGCAGGATATGGTAAGAATTTATTCATTCGAAAATTTGCAAAATTGAAATAAGAAGCTTCATCAGACTTGGTAAATTATAATTTTTCAAATTGTGAAGTTAGACTAATTTTTTTCCCCCACATGAATTGTCATCCAAATGTATTATCTTGATGTAAATTTGAGTGATAAAATGTTCTTCATACCATTGTAATTTTTTCATTTCATTATTTGACGTGCCACAAAACCAAACAATTTTAATCTCGTAAACCCTATAAAATTGAATGTGGAGACATCTAATGAATCAGTGCATTAAGGTGGAAACTTATGCCTGGGTAGAAAAAGAATCGTACTATCTATACTTGAAACCTAACAATTTAAATATTGTATTGTTGAAATCTTACCTTGTAAACAACTCCAAAACCACCTTCTCCAATCTTATTTTCAAGTGAGAATCTATTTGTGGCCCTTTCAATGTCAGAGAAAGAAAAGACTTTGACATCTGTACCGTTACCATTCAAATGTTCTGCTGCTTCTATATTTGCTTTACGAGAAAATAAGGAGAAGTAAGCATTTGTGGATGGAGAATAATCATACGCTGCTAAATATATTACCTTTTAATTTGAACCTTCTCCTCTTTTGGATGCAGACTAAGAAACCTAATACTAATAGCAACACCGATGCCACAGCTGGAGCCAAGAGAATCTTTAGAAAACGTGATCTGTAATGTTCCCCTTTAGCTTTATTATCTTCCCCTTTAGCTGTAAACTTACCATAATTTAAATTATTGATCAAACTAAAAATGTCTACCGAGTACTAACTCTGCATGTTTGCATAATGTAGGTTAGAGAGCATTCCTCAATATGGATCTTTGGGTTTTAAAAGATCATGAGCTAATACATTTTGTTGATGATAGTAACCCTTAATCCCTTATATGTTCTGGTTCCACATCTTTAACATGAAATTATGGTTAGATGATGCACATTTGAAAGATTCTCAGTCTTTTGTTCTCTGCAGAATCTAGTTTTAATTTTTTAGAAGTACAGGATCTGACACTTTTCAAATTTCAACTTTAAGTGTGCACAAAGTGTCAACTGGGAAATATCGTAAACTAATCTTTTCTTTAAAATTTTAGATTAGAAAATGATTCGTATGGAGAAGTGACTAGAATTTAAAAGAAATTACCTGCACGAGAAAGCAACCAATTGTCATCGTCAGAAACCTGCCATGCGGCGTAACCGAGCAACTTCTTTTCCTTGGCATAAGACACCTTAATTTTGATAGCCTCAACATCATCAAAACCTATCCAAGTTGATCCACATGACCAGTAGTTGATTACATAAGTGTCATTGTATTGTACATTGCTTCCTCCGCAGGACTGAATTTGGTCTTTGATTTCCTTGTATGTGATTAGCCATAATCCATGTTGAGTTTGTGATGGACCTGTTGCCGGCGCACCTATTGCATTGTTGTTAGGATCAGTAAGATTCCATGCATACCCAAAATAAGCCAACCCCAAAACCAACTTGTTGGGTGACAATCCCCTGGCAATCCATTCATTGATACCATAGTCTGTGCTATTATATCTACTTGAAGGATCATATAAAGCTGAATGTGCGGCAGTGACATTCGGCGTCCAATGAATGTAAGAATATGTTTTAACATGTATCCAGTCTAAGTATGTTGCCATTGACTCAACAGGATAAACAGAGATATTGAATGGCCAATATGGAGTATATGGAACAGTGGCAGTCAGTATCAGTTGTGGATCATTATCATCTATGTATAGACTCCATTCTTTTACAAGATTTGCCATACCATTCATGTCAGATTTTGTTTGAGGGTAATCCCAGTAAAGGTCGAGGCCATCGAACTGGTATTCCCTGGCTACGTTTATAGAGGATTCAATGAAGGATCCTCTTGAAGAATAATTGCTCACCATTGAAGCATACGAATCTCTCTCTTTCCCCCAAATAGAGAGAAGTGTTTTGACGGATGGGTTCTCTTTTCTGACTGTGCTGGAGAAGCTACGAACTTCGGGCTCATCTACTGGGCGGATTAAGATCTCAAAGGACGAAGTGTTCAAATAAGCACAATAAAATATGAGGTGACTAAACAATGTGGAGTCGACTTGGGAAATGGGGATTCCCGGAAAATAATAACCAGCACTGACCTGTGCAGGTTGTCCTTCTGCCCATCGGAATGGAAGATAAAGAGAAACAAGGACGATAACAAATGCAGTTCTTGACAACATGCATGGAATGCTTTGTATGGCTTTCATTCTGTTATCAGCATTCAGTCTTTAAATGCAGAATATCAAATTATGTAAGAGTGAGTGTGTGTTGTGTGTTTGTCTATTTAATCTATATATATAATTTTCAAGGGAACAGAGTGTTGTAATCACGCTTGAGGTTATGAAGTTTAAAAGTTTAGAATTCGAAATATAATATTTTCTAGTTTTCTTTGCCAGTGGTCAATGAAAGAGCTAAGGATTAAGGGAAAATACAGTAGAAAGTTTTTTGTACTTCTATTGTATTTTGTTTTTAGTTGTTGTTTCAGTCTCTTTGGATTAATCTGTCCATAATTTGAGTCTCTAATTTTATAAATGCATATAATGGCTGTGAGATGGCATTAATGGAGTTAATTTAACTGAAATTCTGCTAACTCCCTTGTAAAAATATGATGATGTGGAAATAAATGGACTATACATGATTAAAAATGGAAAAAATTACAATCAAATCCCACACAGAAAAATTAATTAATATAAGGTTCATTAACAATTGAATTAAATTATATTGACAACACAACTAGTTGTCAATGAATCTTGCAGTAATTAATTTTCTCACGTGAGACTTCAATATAATTTTTTCTTAAAAATAGAAGGTAAAGATGAAAAAGAAAAAAAAAAAGAAGCTTCTTCGTACATTTAGATCAAACAGAACGTGACGCTTTAACCAAAAAAATGTGATAGATAAAAGCAAGATTAAGTTTATATCAACAAAGTTAATTAGACATCAACAAAATTAATTCTGCCAGTATTGGCTCATGGTTTTTATGCACATTTTATAGGAATCAAAGTTGCAAATGGATCAAATTAAAAGAATTGAAAATAATGAAATAAAATTATGGGGATGACAAATAAAATGGGATTAAAATAAAGGAAACTACTGTTATATTTTAAAAAATATTAATCCCAGCTTATTGGATAAATCCAAATGGCAGCAACCTGAGACAGGTGAAGCGCGAACCTTTCGTCCAAGGAGATAAGCTCCGAGACACCGCCAAGCTCAAATTTGAATATTGCAGCTTCTTGTTTGACCAAAACTCATGTAAATTCAAAGATTATTTTAGTGCAGGCTTCAACAGCGGACTTGGCCGGCGCCTTTTTAATATTGATGCCTATTATTGCAATGCGATTTATTGTATGGACATTTTATCCCGGGCTCCTTGATTTAATAATTAATAATTAATAAGAATAAATACTATTTCAATAGCCGTCAATTAGGATCAGTTTTGAAAAGCTAGAGCCTAAGTAGGCTGACTTTAAGCCCGATTACATCTTAAATCTCCCTTTTGCAAGGCTTGGGCCTGGCCCTATTTTTTTTTTTTTTTGGTGTCTTTTTTTCAATTTAAAAATCTAAAAAATATATTTATAATTTTAAAAAAGTTATTACACATATAATTAAGTTTAGGAAAATAAGTTTAAGTCAATTCACACCACAACAAATATAGAAAACTTAAATATCCAGGCTAATATCAAATAGTAATATCAAAATTAATATCAATAAAAATTAAATTTGACTAACATTATTAGCTAAATCTTAATAAATGAATGAGAGAGAGACAAATGAGTCTAAAGTGTTCGTTTGTTTTAATTAGATATTTAATCTTCTATTTTTTTAGATTGAAAGTTTTAAAAAAATAATAAAAGAGTTTAAAAGGGTTGGCCCCAGCATTAAAGGGCCATTCCTTTTATTTTTGAGCTTAAAAGGATAATTACCATTTTTTGCTCTAAAGTAACAGCCCAGCCGTAGTTAATTTTAGGTTTAAAAGAATTGACTTGACAAGCTCAGCTTTAATTGATAGCCATGTACATAGAGTAGGTAATTTGAATAAATTAAACTTTTTTATATTTTTTTTTCATATAAGAATAAGTTGAACTTATTCAAAAAGGGCTAAATTAGAATTTGGTTCACTCAAGCTAGCCCGAACTTATAAAAAGCCCATAAAATTAAACTTGGCACTATCATCTCATACATCAAAGGGGTTTATGCAATTAAGAGGGACACAATTCCAAATTTTAAAATTGATGTTTTTGTCATGAAGTTAACAATATTTTCTTTAAAAATTTTTATTGGTGATTTGGGAACCATTTGTTTTATCTTATTTCATGAAAAAATGTTTTTTTCAAAAAAAATCTATTTTATGAGTTCTATGATATTTGTTTAAACTATTAAAAATAATTAGAATTTGGAAGAAAAAAAAGATTTTTGATTCTTTTAAGAAACTACTTTGAGTAGTTTATAAAAATAATTTAACGCAATAAATGAGAAAAAGTGTTTTAAAGAGGAGAGATATGTGAATATATCATAAAATTTTAAAATAATATAGCAATAAATCATTTTTATAAAATAAAAATAATTAAAAAATAACCAACTAATAATTTATTTTTTATTATTATAAAAAAAATAATATATGTTTTTTATAAAATCTCTTCAAAATAAATCTCTTTTTATAATCTTGAACAAACAGCCCCTTATACTACAGCTAGTGTAAGGTAGGTTTAATTTTCTCTATCATTTCAAAGTGAGAAAGACTTATATACTTAATCATATATATTTAATATAAATTTGTTTAAGTACATTATAACTGGTAGATTTTAAAGTATTGAAAATAACTAGGGTTGAGCAATGGGCGGAATGAGCTAGCATGAAGGGTTGCACATAGCCTACCCAACTTATCTAGGTTCAGGCGAGTATACATAATTACAAGTTGTTTGCTCTATCCTAAAATGTATTCGCTCTATTGCAATTTATAAGATAATTTTTAAGAAGATTTGACGTATCAAAATATAAGGCACTTTGATAAAAATAAGATTTTATTAATGATATTTTTTCAATATTATCCTTCACATATATTCTATTCCTTTAATATTCTTTTACAAATTGGGTGTTGAATAAAGAGTATTTTTAAAATTTTATATTTTTGTTTTGAAAAAAATAAGGTTGTCAAATGTATTTAATAATGTTTATTAGTATGTGTAATTTTGTCTAAAACAATGACTTACAAATTGGGAAGGAGATAGTATAAACAATAAGAGTTTGTTACATATATAGAAAATAATTTGTAAAATTTGACTTTTTTGATTTGATTGGATATAACTTAAAAGTATCTTAAACATATAATTATAAGATTAAGTATATAAATATTTGCCAACAAAGATTGGTCTAATTGGATTTGGCTCACAACTTGTAAGGTCACAGGTTCAAATCCTGATGTCGATATAAGAACCATGATGGTAGCTAGGCATATATTAGTAGATTTATAAGTATTTTTTGAGTCTTGAAATAGGTCCTAGTGAGTTACTAGGATTCAATACACCTGAACTTTTGCCCACCATATATATATATATATATATATATAAAAGTATTTTTCTTTTCACATGTCCGAATTCAATTCTTATAATTTTTTGAATAAAAGTTGTGATTCTTGAAACAAAAATTATGAATGGGGTTTATTATTTTGAAAACTTATTTTCTAATAATAGAAATTACAAACTTGATAAATTATGATTTTTTGTTTTACTCCTGTGATTCATAAAACAAAAGTTATTATTCCTTAAATAAAAATTGTGATTGCAGCTTGTTTTTCAATAACAAAAGTTACACTTGATAAGTTATGATTTCTTATTCAACTCTTGCGATTTATAAAATAAAAGTTTTGATTTTTTAAATAAAAGTTATGATTAGGGCTTGTATTTTCAATAAAGGTAAAATAGTCTTTTCACTTTAAAATTTATTAACAAAGAGGTTCGTATAAATTCATTGAAATTACGACATTTTGAGAGACTATATTATCATTTATATAATTTGAAGAAATTTTATTGTCATTTTTTTAAATTATAATTATAATTATAGTGGAAGGTCAAGTTGTCTTTTGTAATTTCTCGACCACATCTCTTTCGCATCCTATTCTCTTTCCTTGCATTCTCATTGCATGCCAACATGGCCATGTGTCTCTCAGTGAGAGCTTCGGTGGTTTGTGAGAAAGGATTGAAATGATAGTGGGTTGAATTATTGGAGTGATTTATAATTGGGAAAATCACACTAAAGGCCTTAAAACACATAATATTACACTTTGGGCTTGAAAAATTATGATATTGCACTATAAGTCTAAGGGCTTTTTTTGCAATTTTTCTTGGGAATGAATGTACAATTTTGCCCTTAATGAAAAGCAAAGAAATGAACTGAATGTGGTGGGATTGAAGCCAAGTATAGGAAGGTTTCTCAGTTGAAAGAGTTGAAGCTTGAAGGTTTCTCAACTTCGACGGTGAGGAGTAACTTTCGAGGTTTGTAGATTTCAAAATCTATCCATCCTAAGTAGTATTTCAGTTAAGAAATTTCTATTGAGCTTTGATTAAGGGTGTTGTCCACCATTTTTATGCTGAAATAGAAAATAATTGAGAGGTTGACGATAGGACTTGGTGAGCTATGTAAGTTTCTAGCGTGCACAAAGTAAATGTAGTTATTATATTTTGGTGAGCTGAAAGTTTAGCTTAATGATTTAAATGGCATCATTCTTGCTTGCTGATAAAGTGGCAATAAAGGTGGTCTTAACTCATTTAATATATAGTAGTTTCATTTAATAGAAACATTTAATTGGGGTTTTATATAAGCTAGTAGGGTGCATATGATATGAATTTTTATTGTACAAACTGCACTGTGATATTATTGAAATTAAAATTTTATTTGTGATTTTACTGCTAATATGAGTTAAGGGATGTTCAATCATGTAAGTTAGTTGTGGACATTTTAGAGTGGATTAGCTATTATATAATAATGATGATTGACTTATCTATATTGCACTTGGACATGTGAATTGAATAAAATATAACCCAATATGAAGAAAATCTGGTATCAGAAATGTTAGAGTATTTGTTGTGCAAAAATGAATTTTGAATTGTTGGTGTTGAACATTGAGTTGTGTAAAATAAAAGTTGAGTTTCTATATGCGGGCATTTACTTAGATTAATTTATTCATTGCAGGTTAATATAAGAGATAGTAGTAGTTCTAGAAAGAAATTATTTTGTTTCTTCCATTATGGTGGTGAATTTGTGAGGAGTGTTGATAGTAGTATGAAGCATGTGAGTGAAAATTTAATTGTTAGAGCCATAACTAAAGGATCGATGTATATAGAGCTGAAATCATTGTTCAAGATGTGGGGAGGCTTGACATAGTCGCAAGACATGCAAGAATCATAATCTAGCATGAGAAGTAC